GAGCCTTCCGGGCCGGGGGAGGAAGGTCTGTCAGCTCTAGTGTGTTGCTCATGCCCGTCACCCCCTCTCACCCCTTTATGCGGAGGAGTTAAGTGGGACTCTAGAGGGATGAAAACTTTCCACCCAGAGGCCCAGGTGAGCTCAAAAGCCAGTATGGGTCTCCCTGACCCCCAGAAGGCTCCACCTACTGTAATATCAGGGGAAGGGTCCTTTTGAGATTCCAAGCAGTGACGTGGGTGAGCTGGACACAGGCTAGCCCTCCTGCCGTTCCACCCATTCCCATCCCACTCTACCTACAGTTCCCCTCTGAGCTGGAGGACACCCCTACCAAATCAGCAGGTGTAGGGGGTGTAACTCTCCAGTGCTCACTGAGGTGGAGTGAGAGGGGCACCTACCAAAGTCAGTGCAGGGACCCTGCAGCCCCCCCAACCCTCCAGTGCACAGTAGGTGTAGGCAAATGCTGCCTAATGAAAGGCAGGGGACATGAGTGGGAGCACCTCCATTTGTTGAGGACCCATTGTATGCCATGTAGTGGCTTGTGAGGGTCAGCCCTGCCCACCAGGGCTCAAGGCCAACTTGGGCCTGGCAGAGTCCTGGGTCCTGGACCCAGACCAAGTTCATCAGAATGATCAGTAGGGGACGTTGGTACTGGATCTGAATGATGAGAAAGTCAGCAGTGGTAGCTCTGGAAGGAAGCCTTCTAGGACAGGGGTGGGAGGGTGGGGGTGGTATACAGGCAGGTGCAAAGGTCCCGTGGTGACCACATGTTGGGGGGAGGGAAGGGATGTGTTGGAAGATAAGAAAGGATAGGGGGGTGGGGGAGCCAAGGTCCAACCCAGAGGAGCCAGTGGCCCAGCCTGAGGTTGGCAGGTCGGGAGTATATCTGAAGCACCCCGCTTCACAAATTGGTGGGCTGACATTTCATAGGGTGAGGCCAGGCCCAGGTAGTGGGGTATCAGCCAGAGAGGAGGCAGACACCTTCTAGCTCCTGGGGTCCCCCTCCACCCCTGGCCTAGGCTGGTGGTGCAGCTGTGTGGGGAGGCTGGGCTGCTGGCATCAGCAGGGGCCCCTCCTCCCCACCTAGCTAAACAATCATTGCACAAAATATGCAAATGGTATAATTACTGTTATTTGTTTTGCTGATATAAGTGTTTGAAATGCAAATGTCAACTTTGGGCGCTTTCATTTTCCCACCCCTTTCACCCGGACTTTTGCAAGTTGATGAATTGTTCCCTCCTGGAAGGGAAAGGAAGAGTTGGGTGCCCCTCCCACCTCCACCTCAAAGACCCGGGGAGTTGCACCCCCTATACCTGCTGCCTTCGCTTGCCTGAGGCACCTGGAAAGGCTGGGGTGGCATAAGGGTGATGGGATGGAGATGGTGGGGTGAATGGGGTGAATGTGGGTGGAATGAGGGTGGGGTATAGAGCCCCCTTCCGACTATGCAGTGGGTATGTTAGAAGGGGGGCTTCACATCTCCCCACCCCCAGTGATCTGGTCCAGTTTCTTGCCTCTTGGAGTCTCTTTATACCTGTCTTATGATGGAACCCCAGTGTTAGCTGACCCTGTGACATTCCATTGATGTCATTGGACCTCAGTTTCCCATCTTTGAAATTCCTATGTGTTCCATCTGTAAAATGTACACAAATTCTGTGGGTGGTCTTTGGGGGTCCTGATGATCCCCAAATATCAACAATTAACCGTGTGTGTGCATTTTCCAGGGTAGGGCCTTTTAAGCCTTCCAGGCGCTCAGGTGTCTGGGTTCAGACAAGCCTGGCGGTCACCATCTCGTTCTATGCAGCGTGAACCTGAGGCATGGCATTCCTGCATTTATCGAGGTCACACCAGTGAGCTCCTGGTGCCTTGCTGCACCCGTGGGCAGAATAGGACATACCTTGCTTTCAAAGTCTCCTGCCTACCAGTCCTACTGGAGCTGCTCAGCCAAAGCTCATGATCTGTCTGCACCATGCTGCCTCCAGGGCAAGGGGTCCCCATGTTTCACCATGTCTGTGTCACTGGAACACTGTTCCCCACAGATCCGTGAATTCACGGTGAGCCTGGCAGTTCAGATCCATGGATTTCCAGCAGCAGTTCAAGTGTCATCCTACAGTTACTTGATCAGGTTGATTCCTATAAGAAGCACAGCCCAGAGAGGCTCCCCCAGGACCTGTGGGTCAGTGGGGCTGGTGACTTACCAGGTGGCTCCTAAGTGGTGCTCTGGGGAAAGAAAAAGGTATTATCCAGAGGCAGGTGGGTCAGAGTGGGCCTCAAACCCCAGGGCTGCATACCATCTGGTAGCCCCTCTGTGGTTGTTACAGGGCAGGGAAAGGGATACCCTAAAAATCCCAAACCTGTCTCTAAATAGGTTCTGCCATCTGCTGCATCAAGACAAAACATATAGACCTTTAATGGAAAGGAACTTTAATACAATTAGTGTGTAATACAGAAAAGACAAAAAATATATAGTTTCCAAGTCAGGCACCCAAAGTTACCCGTCCCCTCGTGGGTAAAAATCCACCCAAGCAGGGTTGGCCCAAAGTAAGGCCCCAAAGCCTGCCACAAGTCTAAAGCACCTTCCAGAGGAGACCCACAGAAAAGGGTCAGAAACAGCCAGACAAGTCTGGAAAGAAAACAGCAAAATCAAAATCAAAGCTGCCATTGTTAATCTCCCCACGGGTCTCTCACCCACATCTGTTACAACCAGAACAAGACCAAGAGGCCAGCGCAGCTTCTTCACATGTCTCTCTGCTCCATGTGCCTCCTCCAGGTCTCTTCTGGCTCCATCCTGCTTCCTTCCTTCCCCAGTCTCCTCTCCAGCTTCTTTTCTTCCCTGCTCAGCTCCACCCTGCCTTGGGTGGGCCAGGGAACCTGGAATGTCCCCTTTTTCTGGGGACCACCCTATTACATGATCAGCTGCTCAGGGACAGACACTGTGCTGTGTTCAAGCTCTGATTGGCTGGGGGCAGGCAGGATGTCCATGTCCAATGGGCCTGCGTGGAGGGCAGTGTGTGTCCTTGTGTATGTGGGTGGCTTGCATGCATGTGTTCATCTGTGTTTGTTTCGTGCCTGTGTGTGGGCACCTGTGGCTCTTTGTGTGCACACGTATGTGAGTGTATTGTGTACATGTGCACATGGACATTCTGCAGGTCATGCTCGCGGAGAGTGAAAAACTCCGCATTGGGTTCTGTGTCCTTGGTGTGAGAACATAGGCCCCGCTTGCAGCCCCAGAGGGACCACAGAGCTCCCTGGCTTCTGCTCACATGTGTGGTGGCACAGAGCTCGTTTTGGCACTGGACTGCTTTGCTAGAAAGTCTGAGAGCGACTAAACCCCTGTGTACTGGCTGAGACCGCAGTGGGTGGCGCGTGGTCCCGAGCTCTGTTTACCCATCTGGAACTCTTGGCAAGGCTGGGTGGGTGTGCAGTGGGCACTCAACAAGCATGAAGTCCCGCTCTCTTCTGGAACTTGCCTAGGAGAAGCATCTGTCCTTGGCTCAGACGGCCTCCTTCCTGACCCAGGCAGCAAGGCTGAAAGGGTTATCAGAAGGGCACCTGGAGCTGGACAGTGAGGAGAGACAGCACTGACTGGGCAGTGGCGGGGGTGTGGCAATGGGCTGGGGGTGGCAAAGGGTTTGGTGTCCTGGTCCCTAGGCTGCATCTCAGTCCCAAAGCCTCCTTAGGGCCAGACTTGGGAGGGAGCCTCTGAGCTCCCAAGTACCTTTTCATTCCAAGTACCTTTTCTAAGACTGGTTCGGCTTCATTCGCATATTCAAATACAGTCCATTATTATTTCAATTAGCTGTTAAGTAATTAGCTCTAATTGATGAGCATTCCCCCCACTTTCCCACATATTTTTTGGTTATTTACATCCGCTTCTAACCAACAATTTTAGGTAATTACATGCCACTCACTCATCTATTTGCACACACACATACTTCCGTGCACGACAGGTTCCTTTCAATTTCCTCTCCAGGCCTGGTGCCGGGCGGGGGGAAGGGGGCATGCTGTTCAGACAGGGCACAGGCAGCCAGATGGGCGACCCTTCCTGCCACCTACCCAGGCCTCCTGAGAACCACTGCTTGGTCTCCAGGGGTACAAGGTGTACCAGAGAACCTTTCCTCTCCCAATCTTGCTTCTGGAACTCCTGTAGATCCAGAGACAGGCTCCCCCACACTGAGACACTGCTGCTGCCCTGGGTTGTGGACTGTGACCCTTCAGTCACAGCAGAGGGAGGTGGCTTCGTGGTGCCAGGCTTTGTCCAAACATGTCTTAGTTCTGCAGCTCCGCTGTGTGCGCCCTGTTCAGTTCCCTATCTGCAAATTGGGGGTCAAGTGCCTGCTTGCAGTGAATGGGTGATGGGAGAGGATGATGCATGGACTATCCTTAGCACAGACCCAGTGCCAGGGTTTCTGGGGTAGATCCAGTGAATGAATGAATGAGTGAATGATAGATTGAACCCTGTGGGCAGATAAGACTTGAGTTGTAAATTGACTTGCCCAAGGTCACACACTCATTACATCAGATCTGGGCCCTGGGCCTGAGGCCTGTCCTTCCTGATGTGATTTCTGCATGGTCTGGAGTCTTGGCGGGAGGAGAGTACCTGCAGGGAGAAAGCCCTGGCTGGGGGGAACTGCTCTGGTTAACTTGCCCAGGGTCTTGCTTAGCCAGCTGTGCGTGTTTGCTCTGCCTCTCACTGAGGTCCAGGGAACAGAGGGGATGTGGATGCACGGTGCCCTGAATGTTCCCCCCATATGCCTATCCCAGAACTCTGGGGCCCCCACCCTGGGTCACGGCAGAGTGGCTTGAGCTGGACTCGGCAGCAGTGACCATCAGCCCTCCAGGCTCTGCACTTCCGTTGCTGTCCTGCCTCTGCCAGCTCCTGTGCCTGGCTTTGTCCTCACTGCCCACGCCACCACGTGGATGGAAGACAGGCTCCTCCGGAAGCTGAGACGCACCGCTGCGTGGCCCCAGGCGCCTCACCACCTCCCCTCTCTGTCTCCATGCAGTGGCAGCTGCCTTGGTGTCCGTCTGTCCTACACTCCATCTGGACCTGTGATCTTCCTCTGTGTCTGGAAGGGAGAGATGTCCATGACCCCTGCGGGGAGGAGCCCACTGGCCTGTGTTTCTCAGATGCGCCCAGTCATCGGCAGACCCTGACCCAAGGTAAGGGGTGCTGTTGCTCATTGGGCTCACTGCTTCATAGCCACTGGCAGGAAGGTATGCTGGGGTCCCGGGACAGGCTGGGAAGAAGACGAGTCTGATTCAGCTATTTTGTGGAAACAAAAGTCCCATCCGACAGAGTGGGCAAAGGCTGAAGGATCTGAGAAGAGGAACTTGGGGGCCTGGGGACTCAGGGCCTATCCAATATGCTCCCCTGATGAGTCAGGGGCAGCCTTGTGGGTTAAAATGGTTTCATCACCACTTCATGGGAATAGAGCCATCCTGTACATTAGCATGTAAAGCCATCGTATGTATGATGTGGCATGTTAATAGTCATTCACAATATATATATATATTTGAAAACAGGAAAAATTATCTAAAATGCTGACTGGAGCGCCTGGGGGGACCAAAGGGTGGAGGCTGCCATCCCAGTGCATCAGTGTTCCAGTGACCCAGCTGTGCTGTGCTGCCGGGAGCCTCGCCTCCAGCTGATCAGTATCTGTAGCTGGACCAGTTGTTTCCTTCAGCACTTTGAGAAGTTGCAGTTATGCCTCTTTTGTCAACTGTGCCATGGATTTCTCCAGGCCTTCGGTCTTGCACCCAGTTCTGGGGCTCTGAGTCAGCACACTTAACTTGACCAGATGCTATTGTCTAGGAGTTTCCTTGTCTCCAGAGCTGGGTTGTAATGTCTCCCAACTTGCAGGAAGTGCTATTGGTCTAATGAATGTCATTCAGAAAGCCTGGATTTTTAGGGTTTGGGTTTTTGCGGTGAAGTACTTGCCAGCTCTGTTCAGGCATTAGAGAATCTATGTTTTAGATTGTGTTTATCTAAGGGGGCTGACAAACTTATGCTCTGCCAGGTCTGATGGACTATGAGAGCGAAGCATGTGGGAATTTGTGAGGCTCTTTTCGTCACAGGCCCCCCAGAACATCCAAAGGCCTGTTTTTTCTATTGGTGACATGGTGCCTCAGCTTCCCCTGGGTGGTGCAGTGGAGGGGAGGCCTGAGGATGGAGAAGAGCCCCATGAGGAAGTGAGGAAGCAAGGGCTCTGGGCAGAGGGACAGCAAGAGCAGAAACCCTGAGGTGGGCAGGCGCACACATGTGTCGCTGGAATAGCGAGGTGGAACTCGCCTGTGTGATAAGGAAAGCAGGCCGTGGAGCTGGCGCTAGTGGGGGGCAGGATGTCTCAGAGGTCTTGGTGGAGCGTGGACTATTGGACATGGCTGGGCTGATTCAGCGGTGATGACCATGGCCATGAGCTTGCAGGGCAGTGCAGGAAAACTGGACTCGTGGCGACAGCCTTAGGCTGTTCCACCTCTGTGCCATTGCTCACTGTGGCTCCTTTGCCTGGAACCCTCTCTTGTAAGTCCATCTGTCTTTGGAGTGACTTTGGTGTTGGACAGATCATGCTCTGCTGAATTTTGGATGTGAGACACTGGAAAAGTCACCATGTTTGACCTGACTTTTTATCTGTCAAGTGGAGATAGTAACCTGGGCCTACAGCGGCGCTCAAGAAATAGTGAAGGGCCGCCCCCCCTCTGAGCATGAAGCAAGTGCTTGCAGAGTCTCTGGTACTTTGCTGTTAGATTGGTGTTAGTTCTTCCCTTCCTTCTAGACATTCGTGTCCTGCCCAGCCAATGTTAGGTTCAGGCTCACCCGAGCTTGTCCAGGGTCGCGGCAGCCTAGGGGGTGCTCTCTTTGCCCCCATGCCCATCCTGCCTCCAGCTCTCACGTGGCCCATGCAATTTGATTCTTCTCTCTCACTCAAGCCCAGGCTGCGTGTTCCACTCTGACAGCCTCCTGAACCTGACAGGTGACAGATGCTGAATGAAGGTTTGTTGAATGAATGCATGGGATGCTTCCCAGCCCAGGCCTACCTAAGAAGGCAGGTGGCATAGCAGATGGCTCCCACAGGGTCTGGTGCTGGAGCATGTACATTGCAGTAAGCCTTCTTTAGGAACTTGGGGGTTGGGTGCATTGTTTTCAAGATTCCTTCCAAATAGAACATTTTGTCTGTGAGTTGAACTTTATTCACTTCTGTTCCTGCTTCCCTCCTCCTCCTCCTTTTCCTGTTCCTGAGGTCTTGTCCCTAGAAGTTCTTTTGCTGAAGCAATGACTAAGAGTTCAGAGGAGGCTTCTATGTATTTCTATGACCCCAGGTGACCTGCTGGAACAGTCCTTGGCCACAGTGTGTTCAGCACCAGGGACAGAGTCACAGACACCTGACCTGTGGGTGCCATGGGAGGTGTGTTGGATAGAGGCCTGGGAGTTGGCAACCCCAATCTGAGGCTCTTTTAATGGAATTAGAAGCACTATATATAAAATCCAACCCATCCCACATTTGTAAGACCACTCTGCCCCCCACGCCTTAGTTTCTTTCTCTAAGAAACAGGGATGTCACTCTTCCTGGCAGAGTTGGCTTGGCATGCTGCTGACTTGCCCAAGGACGCCCAGTATACCTTCTCAGCCCACCTTTCCCACCCCCAGCTTGCCCAGGCACCCCTCCCCTACCTCTCCAAGGAGCTGGGTTATTTATCTGCTGATGGTGACAGGCTGTGGCTGCAGTTAGAGATGCTGTCCAGAGATCAGCTGGCGGCTACAGAACCAACAGCCTGAGCTAATTAGCAAAAGGTCACACTGGCTCCTGGAGCCCCCACTTTTGAAGTTGGGCCTCACACAGGCTGGAAGGAACCTGGGACTTTGAGTTAGTGGCTTGGTTACTAGCACAGCTTCAAACCCCTGCCCACAGCTCATTGCTGATTGCTCAGCCCACGACTTTGAGGCCTCACCTTCCAGGAATTTCCAGCACAGGATTCCAGCCATCCACACCATTGCTCTAGGCTAGACAGGTGAGGGAGGCTCAGGTCCCAGTGTGCATGGAAGGCTGGCCTTAATCTCCCAGACCTACCCCTGCCCCCAACCTCCACGCCCAGGGCAGACTACCTAGCAGTAGAAGCGCAGGGTTGGGGCAGTAGCCACCCACATACCCCCACTTTCCCTCTCACTGTGTTCTTATTGTTTCTCCTCTAAGTAAATTCACTAAAAAAATACCTTAAATACATTTATTTAAAAGGGAAGTTTTATGGCACTATTACAAATGGAAAACAAGCCTCCTTTGCCATAAATAGAATTCATAATCATAAAAATAAATTCACTGGAAACAAAGCAATGTTATTAAATTCTAGTTGGATGCTGTAGCCCAGGGGAGATTCGGAGCCCAAGGCCTCTATCGCTTTATTAAAAAGGGAGAACAGCAAGTATAGAGGTGTTCAAGACTTACCAGCCCCGATCTAAGACTTTTGATATAATAAGAAGCACAGAAAAGAATTAAATTGAGAGTAACTTTCTAATAAAATTATTCAGCGTTATTTTATGCTATGTCAGCTAGGGATTGAATTTGGCTGCACAAGCCAGCAACCTGATTACTGTGTGATTGAACCCACATGGGGTAGCAGTGGGAGTGATGGAGGCCCAAGTAAATTGTCAGTGAACCAGCTTTCATATAACTTCAGCTCTGTCATGCTTAGTGTTTGTCCTCATGACCTCAAAATGGCTGCTGTACCTCCAGCCATTGTATCTGCATCTTGGGCAGGAAAATAGGGGTGTGAAGAGAAAGGTTTATGCTGACTGAATCTGTTCCTTGTTATTGGGAAGATAACAATAGGCACCTGACCCTGTTCTCTTGCATGTGGTCTACTACTGCCTCCTGGTTGGTTTCTATTTGTCACCTATTTACTTGGTACCTACTGATTTTTCAGGCAGCAGACCCCTGCTCTTGTGGTGTTCACAAACAAGGTCACAGGCTGGCATTTATGAGATGAGTCATGGCCTGGACCCTGGCCATTCTCCAGGAATTCCCTTCCCCTAGCCTAGGTCTACCCCTTTTCCTTCCTCTACTATACACCTGGCTCTTGCTGCCCACAGTGGCCAACTCAGGGTGGCCCCTGCCTCATACCCCCTTTTCTCTCCCCACAGACCCAGGTTGCCCTCTTGCCCTATAGGAGTATCTAAATTCAAGTGCCCAGCTCAGCCAGAACAAAGCTGCCCACTTCTGGGCTCCTCTGGATGGGGAGCAGCCCCTTCTTTTCCCCATAGTCCTCTCTAGACCCCTAGGTCCCGTTCTCCTGTGAATCCCCCCAAATCCCTCCTGGACATTTTTATCCAGGCAGGCTAGCTAGGGCAGTTGCAGGGGTCTTGTTGTAGCTCTGTGGTCTCAATTTGACTTTCCATTTTCTCATGGAATGTGTATCTAGATTAATTAGCAGGGGGGTCAGGACCTTGGGGGACCTCCTTCCTCTGGCGCCTCTCTCCAGCCGGGCAGGCCCTGGGGACCCTTCTCCTTCAGACTAGGGCTTCTGTATTGAGTTTCATGCCTTATTGCATCCATCCTGCCACAGGCTTGGCCTGTCAGCCTGACTCCCTCTTAACTCCTCCCCTCATAGACCATCCCCTGCTCCCATCTCTGACATTTGACATCCTTGGCACCTTGGAACCCACCACAGGTCCCACATTAAATATGGCTCCATGGCTGATCAGCTGTGCAATTGCTGATCCCTTGACTCTTATGTTCTTCATCAATATGATGGGGTGATGGAAGCTGCTTTGGGATGCTCTGATGAAGAGAATAAGAGGCAGCAAGAGAGCACCCCACTTGTACCTCCTTCCTTCCTCCTTCCCCTCTCCTGCTTCATGGAGCCCGGGTTCATACGTGTGCATAAACACGTATGTCTGTGTGACCCTGCGGGGGTTATATGCATCTCATTGCCCTCTCCTCTGTTTTCTCAGCCCTGCTGACTCCAAGCCAAGGCTGCAGCCCCAGTCTCCAACCCCACTCAGTGAACTGTGAATCCACCAGCCACGTGGGTCAGGAGTCAGGGAAGCAAGGGTCGGGGGAGGGGCACCAATGCCAAGGCTGTGTCCATGGCAGCTGTGGGGGGATGGGATGAAGTAAAGGGGCAACTGGGAGCAAGAGTGGGATTAGAGTAGCAGGAAACATGGGGCT